TCCTGGGCACAGTGGGCACCCAGCAAGCGTTTCTCCAACAAGCATGATGCTGGAGGAGGGTGCGTGTGCATAAACCTCCCCACCATGTGTGTGCATGCGTGTGTCTACACCTCTCTATATATATTATATGTGTGTGTGCCTGGGTGTATACCTGTCTATATACATCTGTGTATGTGTGTAGATCTCCCTGTAACCTATATGTGTGTATATATCCATCTCTCTATAATGTGTATATATCCATCTCTCTATAACATATGTATATGTGTCCTTTCTCTATAACCTATGTGTGTATATATCATTTCTCTATAACGTGTGTATATATATCTCTAAAATATATGTGTGTATATATCCATCTCTGTATAACATGTGTGTATGTGTATATATCTCTATGTAACATATGTGTGCATCTCTCTATAACATCTATGTGTGTATACATTTCTCTATAGCATGTGTGTATATATCTCTTTATAATTTATGTGAGTATTTCTATATGTCTATAACATACATGTGCATATATATGTAATATATATGGAAAATCACATTGGAAAAATCCATCTATTTTTTATTGAGTTTTTATCAAAAGTAGTTAGATTTTGTCAGATGCCTTCTCAGTGTCTGTAATTACAATCATATTTTTGAATTGTGTTTTAATTGAACAGAATCCATTTTTGCATTTCTGGAATAACCCCCTTGTAGTGATTACTGCATTGCTCTTTTCCTCCGATGCTTGGTGGTTAGAATTTTATTTAGAATTTTCAGTACCTATAACCGAGGCTACCTGGAGTTTTCTGTCTGCACATTCTCAGTCGGGCGGACAGATCAGCAACAGGCATTTCACGATAAAAACCATTTGAAGGCTTTCCTTGTCTTCCTACGCTCTGGAACTCCTTAAATAGGCCTGAAATTGCCTGCCATTTAAAGGTTGGCACAAAACGAGCTGGGTTTGGTGCCTTGCGGGAGGGGGTCTCTGACCACCTCTTCTGTTCAATCTATACAAGTCAGGGTGGTTGTGCCTTCTGTGACCATTCCTACGTCACCCTTCAGAGTAACAGTCACTGCAACAGGGCCACAGCCCAGCACCTGCCCCCCAAGCTCATGGCGTCTGTGGCACCTGCAAGTTCCAGGGTTTTCTGTCAGATCAGCCAGAGACTAGACTCAAGTGAAACCTTCTCTTTACCCGGCTTCTCCCCTCATCCTTCCTGTTTCCATGACTGCCTTCCAAGAGCCTCTGAGAGAACGGGGTGAATCACTGCCCGGGAAGCCCGGCTTGGAGGGACCCCGTGCACAGAGGTCCCTTCCCCGTCCCTGCGTGACATTCAAGGCGTAGACTTGCGCGATATTTATCACACAGCATCTTATTTCATAGGCATTTCACGACAAACCCTTGGAAGGGTAGGACTGTGTCACGCCGCACGGGGCCGGCGCACAGGAGGTGAAGAAGCGGGGCGCGAAACTGCCTGGGGCCCAGGGGGGTGAGGGTTAACAAAGGGCGAAGGAGCAGCAGTTTCTGCTTCTACGGCTCTAATTTCCACAGAATCAAGGGAGGACAATCAGACCTCAAGCGAAACGGGGACAAGCCCCAAACCGTTCTCGTTGCTACGCTATTGGGCACGGACACCAGCACCCAAAGGTGGAAACCTGTAAGGAAACACCCGTAAACGTTACCTTCCGTCGCTCTAAATACCTGCCTTAGGTAAGCTGCAATGTGCGAACCCGTCTCCCCGTCCAGCTGGCCTGTCCACACGGGCTCCCCCGAAACCATGTCCGCTGGACTGTGGCTCCCCAGCAGCTGCAGCCTCGTCCCCAGGACGAGGGCCTGTTAATCAATGACTCTCGGGGGGCCCCGAGCCAGGGCCAGGACGCTGCAGGCAGTGGCCCCGGAGCAACCGATCAGGGCTGCTGTCAAAGGTTTGCTCACCTGGGGAAGAAATCACATAATTGTATCCTGTGTTCCCTCTTCTCGGAGCAGCGCAGCTCACTCTGCGGCCAAAATAAGGAAAGTGAGCATCCAGTGGTTTCCTGAGATGTCCACAGAGCCGCATCTCACACGGAGGGGCCAGCGAGGGCCACCCTGGCCGGGGCGCCGGGCAGTCCTGGGGCCACAGAAAAGGAGATGGAGGGAGGAGGAGTGGAACAGACAGGCGGGAAGAAACACTGCTGCATCCCGTCTACCCGCTGGGTGGTATGGAGGGTCCCTGACCCCCTGCCCCCTGCACACACACACGGAGGGTCCCTGACCCCCTCCCCCCTGTACATACATGGAGGGTCCCTGACCCCTTCCCCCACTGCACATCTTTCTTTTCTCCTCTGCTGTTTTATTTCAAAAGAAGGACCCACACTGTGGGGCAGGAATGAGTGGATGTCGTCTGGGCTTCAGAGCTAAGTTCCGAGGGGCTCAATGGGGAGGTACCACCATCCGCTAACCTGTCGGGTACCTGGTGACAACACGCGGCACAGAATTCAGGAACCCACGAGCCACAGACATTTTTGGCAGGTGCAGGTGCACCTGGCTTACGGTTTCCCGACACCGTTTTCCCAACGTCCAAGCAGCACCTGGAAAATTGGATCTGTTACTAACTCAGGAAAACCCAGGGGACCAATCCAATTACGTGGACTCTCTGGGGAGCCCTCTTCTGGAAACATTTTGTGGAAATTGTGGCTCCCTGGAGGAATTCACCATCTACATGAAGAGAAAATACGGCTGTACACACGCGGACCCGTAAGCACATCAGGTCAGTGCGCCACTGAATCAGGAACGTGCGCCGTGTGACCTGCTGGACAGGGGCACAGGCCGCCTGCACGGGGTCGGCGGGTGGTTCCCGTGGCATCTGAGCACCCACGACGGCGAAGTGGACGCCCCGGGCCTGTTTTGATCGAAGGCGCAGTTTCAGCCCAGGAGGGAGTCACAACATTTATTACAGATCCTGGCAGCCGAGGAGCAGGAGACGCAGGGGGCAGGGGTCACGGCCACAGGGCCTCCCCCTCCCCACGGGTCACGGCCACAGGAGACACAGAGCAGGCACCAGCACTGCTTGCTCACAGGGTGTTTGGGTCAGAGGTCACTCAGTTTCCTCGAGGGTTTATTGTAAAAGTTCCCTGGAACGGCCCAGCAGGAACCGGGGGGGGGGGGGGGGGGGGGTTATCCCTGCCGCCTCCACGCCCCGGCTCCCCGACTCGGTGTGGGCAGGCTGTCGTCCTGGCTGCTGTCACGACAATGAACTCAGCCTGCGGTCTTCCAGGCTTCCCCTCCACGCAGGTGACCCACCTCACATTTTAAAACAGGAGTTTGGGCTCCTTCTTGAGGTTTCTTGGTTTTGTTTCACGTGCCTGCAGAGAATGGCATCTTCCTGGGCCTGTGGTCCGTTACAGCACGGAGCCTCCACTGTGTGGATGCCCATCAGCTCCTGGCCTCAGAGCAGCTCCCAGAGGGAGAAAGGGGATTGCAAGGCCAGGAGGGGGCGAGGGGCACAACCCGGCAGCAGCGACCACTGCGGGTTAGGTGGCCAGGAACTGGGGCTCAGAGAGTCACACAACCGCCCCATCTGTGTGTCTGACCCCCACACTGGCTGCTCTTACCGTATATAAAGAACATTAAAAATCATAACAGTAATGATTCAGGGCAGTCAGCAAGTTATGTTCTCTGTGTGTCACATACGGTGGTCACCAACAGAGGCCAGGCCCCCCCTCAGACCCGTGGAAATCTGCCCAGGGCCTTGGCCTGGGGAGGGGCGGGGGATGGGCGCCTTCTGGGCACCTGCAGGCCTCCCGCACCCTTGGGGGCTGGGATGGAGCCTCTTCACCCGACCCTGTCTGCGCTGAGCTCTTTGGGGAAAACAGTCTGGTGGTGTCCAATCAGAAAACTCACGCATTTTCACTACTGTCTGTGGTGCGTGGCCTCGTACACTGCCCTCAAGTTCCGGAAGCAGAATCCGCAGCATCGACATTGCTCCTGAAATGCAGTAGTGAACCGAGGTCGGGGCCAGGGGGCTCCCACATCTATGCTGGGCCCGGGAGGGGGCGGCTCCACCAGCCCCCCCAGGTCCCCAGCCCTGACATGCAATTCTGTCACCAATGCCTCAGGGTCCAGAGTGCTGAGCGTGTGACACAAGCGTGTGCATGTCCTGTAGGCCCTGGGCCTCGACTTGCCGAGTAGGACACGTGCTCCAGCTCCAGGGCAAAAGGGAGGAGGGCCTCACACTGGGTGGCCTGGGGACGGGCGCTCCGGGGAGACGGGTGCTCAGGGGAGGAGGGCCTGCGCTGAGTGGCATGGGGACAGGTGCACTCAGGGGACCCAGCAGCCGGGTCCGCCCCTCCCCTTGGTTCCCGCGGCCCTGAGAGACGGCTGGCCCCACGGGGGGAGGTGAGGCAGGCCTGTCGGGTCTCTCTGGGTCAGCGTTTGTGGATGGGGGCCAGCCCAGGGCCTGCTCTCAGGGCGTCCCCACTGGGCTCGCGCCTCCACCCCTGTACTGTACACAACGCGCTGCCGTCATCCGATCTTTCTGTGAAGATGCAATTCCCACCTGCAGGACGGGGGAGGGGGTGGCGGGTTTCTGGGCGTTAGTCTGGGTAATTACCTTGCAGCCAGGCCAAGGGCTCTGAGCTCGGCCCTCTCAGCATCAAGCCTCCTGGACGCCAGCAGGCCTCCCAATCTCCGCCCGCCAGGCGGGCGCTGGGGGTGCTCCTGTGTCGCTGGTCCGGTGGCAGGTCACGGCACCGTGTCTGTCACACCACCACGGCTGGGCCCTACTTCACACACCCTCCGCGTCCATCCAGAATCAACAGTGGACACTCAGGGACCCCGTGGGTCTGGGGCCCACCTGGCTCTGGGCTCGAGGCCCCCCAGGCACCTGTCGTTAAGTGAGGCCCCCGACCCGGCCCACAGTGCAGTGCCAGTCCACAGGGTGCTTCCAGGCTTGGACGTCAGGGTCCCATGAGGGGAGGGCAGGCTCGGTCCTGCGTGGGGGGGCTGACAGGGGTCTGACACCCTCTCTGTCCCCCAGGCTTGGACGTCAGGCAGGCGCAGGTCATCGTCCTGTCCTCGGGCACCAAGTGCATCAGCGGGGAGCACATCAATGATCAGGGGCTGGTGGTCAATGACTGCCACGCAGAGATCGTGGCCCGGAGGGCGCTGGTCCACTTCCTGTACGCACAGCTGGAGCTGCACCTCAGGTGAGCGGCGACCCAGGGACAGGCTGTCCCCACCTGCAGACTCCCCGCCCGTGTGGACAGCCATCCGCGCACAGCACGGTGTGACCCAGACGGTGCGACGGCTGCCGCTGGCCAGGCTGGAACCCCAGGCCTCCCCCTCCTCCTCTGGCCTCCATCCTGGGTCCCGCTCGCCCCCCGGGGACTGCAGCGGATGGTCTGTGGGGTGTACATGCCCCACACGCCCACACGTACGATCACACCTGGTAACACGCCCATCGCACCAGTAACGGGGACTGTTGAGTCCCAAGCGGCCGCCACACAACACAAGCGAGGAGCTCGAGCCTCAGCTGCTGATTGCTCACAGCTCTGGGGGCTGGACGCCCAGGATCCAGGGGCGCCTGGCCTGGTATCTGATGAGACCCTGCCTCCTGGGTCACAGACAGCGTCTCCTGTGTCCTCCTCACGTGGGGAAGGGACGAGGGGGCGCCCTGGGGTCTCCTTCATCCCATCGTGGGGCCCTTCAGGGCCTCCTCCCCTCCCAGAGGCCCCACGCCCTGACGCCAACACCCCGGGGTGCAGGACTCCAACATATTTGGAGGACATGAACTTCAGCCTCTAGCAACTCGGTCACCAAAGGGCAGTGTTTCCGCAGGACTAGTGCCCCCCGAACCCGGCCGTGGGCAGCCAGAGAGGTGCCCTCCTGAGGCCAGACACACGTACCTGAACTCACCGAGGGGCTTCCCGGCTACTGCTCAGGCCCTCACACAAAGCTGGGAGGGTGCCGCGGATCCCGAAGGGACAGGCCGCCCACCGCGGCCTTGACCCCTCTTTTCTGGGGTTAAGTGGGGCTACGTTCCTCCCGCTGCCACGTTCTTCCACGTGTTCACCCAGAACCAGCCTTATGTTTTCGAAAGAAAGAAACCCCAACGAGGGAGCCCACTGTCCCAGAAGACGGTCACCCCGAGACCCTGGGCCACTAGGGGCTGGGAGGGTGCGGACAGCACGGACGGTGCCCAGAGCATCGACAGCTGTGCTCGATCTGACATCGAGTGTCCCCTCCCCTAGGGCCCATGACCCCGCAGAAAGTGCCAGGGGAGCCAAGAGCCTCCCTCCAGCCTGTCAGCACCTTGTTCAGGGAACTCCGATCTCTGGGGACTGGAGACAGCCCCCCACTTCTCTCCCTTCCTGGGAACAGACCGGAAGGCCCATGGGACAGGCCCCAGGCCAGCCTCCCTGTGCCCGGCCAGCAGCTGTGAGCCTGGCCCGAGTCTCCCGTGCCCCGCGGTCCCCAGTGGGTTCCACTTTCCAGACCTTGTCCCCAGGGACCATGGCAGTTTAGCCTCCCCACCACAAGCATGGTTTAAGGGGATCCCAAGGAAGGGGCCACCGAGACCCAGAGCAAGGTGCCCCGGCGTCCGTGCCAGCGTCCGTCTACACAGCGTGCTGAATGGGTGGCACCCACAGGTGCGTGTGGGCGCATGGCGCTCTGGACCCCAGTGCACCGAGCTCTTCGCTCACAGCTCACAGTAACGACCGCCATGCCTTCCCCAGAAACGACTCCTCACCAGGTCCTCAGCTGTCCCCACACCCTGCGGAGCAGTGCGCCCGGCATACACTGGCCACGGGTGTGCATGCCACCGGCACTGGGCAGGCGGGGGAGGGGAGGGGAGGCCCGCGCATCTGGCAAAGCGATGCCCAGGGACCCACATGTGAGCCGCGGCCAGCAGCAGCCCAGCGCGGGCCTAGGGCAGTTGTGGGCCCGCCGGGGGCACTGGGGACGGCTTTCTCTCCTAAACACCCACCTCGCGGGACCAGGCCCACCTCTGCCAGGCTGGCCGCGGGGAGCCGGGGAGCAGAGGCAGGGAAGTGGACGGGCTGGTGGCGCTTCGCAGTTCCTGGGAGAGGACATCCACTGTGACACCCAAGTGACCTCGGGGCCAGTGTGTGAAATCAGCGAGGGCGCAGGCACTGCCGAGGGCAGAGGCCTGTGCCCGGGCAGGCTGGGGGGGCTGGGGCACCCCTCTGGGTCGGGGTGGGGGCAGCAGGAGCAAAGCGGGCCCCCCCAGGGGCTGGAGGCCAAGCCTTCCCCCCGTGTTCTTCCCGCACAGACCGGGAGTCCCAGGATGAGGACGGTAAGGGGGGGGGGGGGCGTCTGTAGCAGATGAGCAGTGTTCGCTGGGGGACAGGGCTGGGGGCGCCGAGCAGAGCTGCCGTCGCCGGGTCCACCTCCCCGCTCACTGCCGCCCGTCTAGACGCGGTCCTAACGCGGGCAACGCGGGGAAATGAGACACAAACCGCGCAAAGGCGTCGGCCCGACGGGCGCCCTTCCGGTTGGTTCCTGGGGGTGACGGGACCCTCTCTCTGACCCTAGCCAGCGGCGGGAGGACTCGGAGCACTCGATATTCCAGCGGTCCCAGGACGGCGGCTACCGGCTGCGGGACAACGTGCTGTTCCATCTGTACGTGAGCACGTCCCCGTGCGGAGATGCCAGGCTGCACTCGCCCTACGAGATCACGGCCGACCGTAAGGCACAGCCCCCTCCTCCGCCGCCCGCGCTCAGCGTGCTCGCTCGCGTGGCCCGGCTGCCCCCGTGGCCCCCAACCCGAGTGTGAACCGCCCAGATCACCGAGAGCAGGGCGGCTGGGAAGCTAAAAGTAGCTCTGGTTGCCGTGGTTCTCTGCCTCCTTTCGGTGGATCAGCGGCTCCTGCCCTGTTCTGCACAAGGGAGGGGGGAGACGGGGCGAGAATCACGCAGAGTGTGAGCAGGTCCAGGAGCCTTTGCTCACCTCTGTTTGCAGCTTTGCAGAGAATAATGCTGAGTGTACTTATTTACGTATGACTAAGCCAGTGGCGGGTGGCGCCCCCGGGTAACTAACCCCCGCGTGAGCCTGGAAGGACCTGCCCTCCTGGGCGTTCGGTCAGAGCAGGTGCGGACAGACGGGGTCCACCCAGCAGAGGGGGCGCTGGGCTCCAGAGCCTGGGGACACAGCCGGCCTCCCGTGTGTGGGTCTGAGGACACCAGCATCTCGGGGAAAGTGCTCAGCTGCTGCAGAGGGCCGGTAAATTCTATTCCTGACATCATGCGCGTGAGCAACACATACCGTGCGTGCACGTGCCTCTACATGCACACGCAGACCCCGCCCAAGCAGCACCAGGCAGACCGTCTGAGGCAGGCCCTGAAATTACACGCCTGTATGAGGGATCTGGTCCCAAAAAGAGGCTGACTCATCCCGGGAAACCTTCAGTCGAGGCGCGTAGGGAAGGGTTATTTTTGGCGTCTGATTTCCCCCCACGGAAGGCTGCGTTTGTGTTCTAATTACCAGTGGAAGGACAGAGAAGCACTTTCTGAACACCCGCTGCTCCAGGCTTTGCTGAGATAAGGAAGGTGCAGGGAAAGAGCACTTTCGAGAAACCCTACTTGTACTTAACTTAACCTAGTTCTCCAACACAGATTGCAGCCTGGGGCAGAAAGATCCGTTCTCCTTTCTGCCCACTTTGCTCCAGGACCCTGGCTCGCCCCTCTGGAGAGTGGTCGAGGGGTCCCTGTAGTGAGGCTCTGAGTAACGGTGTCACCCCTGTCTCCCCCAACAGCACAGCTGGGTGGCCTGGAAACAACAGGCATTTGCTGCCCACACTCTGGGGACGGGGACGGGGGACCCGGTGTCCGGGTCGCCGCTGTGTCCTCACATGGCGGGGAAGTGAGGGGGCTCTGCAGGTCTCCCTCTCCAGGGCAGTGATCCCATCAGGGGGCCTCATGGCCTCATCACCCCCAGAAGCCCTTCCCCCTGACTCCGTCCCCTTGGGGCTGGGGCTTCAACACAAGAGTTGGTGAGGGACATGCACATCCAGCCCAGAGCCACGCCCTATGGAAGCAAATGCAACCAAGTCAGGGGAAGGGAGCCCCCTAAATGCAGGGGCCTTTCAGGGAGCTTCCCCCGGGAGCTGGCGGGTGACAGCAGGCGCACCCCCCTCAGAGGTAGAGCAGGGACCCTTCACTGTCACGCATCCCAGAGAAAGGAAGAGAATCAATATGGAACGGACTCATTTTTCCTGGAGGGTTCATCGAGCTAGATCTACAGGGGACGGGCTCCCTGCACGAAACCACCGCTGCGCCCCATCACACCGCTGCTCAGAGCCACCTCCCACTTGTGCCCCACGGCTGGCGCCATCTTGAGGACCCAGCGGCCCTGAAGCCTGGGAGGAGACGTCTGGCAGAACGTTCGGGGCCAGCCCTCATTTGCCTAACTTACCAGCCTCCTCCTGAGACTGGGATGGCCGATCGGGGACGGTCTGAGACCCCGCGTCCCCGCCTGCCTGCGCCCGGCACCTCCACAGCTCCCCAGCCCCCCGCTCCCGCTTGCAAAGCCAGCGGTTCAGAAAAACAAACAGATACATCCTCAGAGGCACCCTGGGGCTCACTTCCTGACACAGATATCTTTTATTTTGTCATGCTTTTAAGAAGTGGCAGGTGCTGCTAGGGAAGAAAATAAAGCATCGTCCTCGCATTTTTACCGCAGATGCGCCAGGCAGAGGTGAGCTGCTGCTCGGGGTTATTCAGACTGCGGCCTCTGGCATGTCCCCCCCAGGGGACCACCGAGGAGGGGGGGGTCTCGGTGCTTCCGTACACAGACTCCCAGCCGGAGCGGCACACCGCCTCCCCTCACCCTGGGCACAGCCCTCTCCGGCCCCGGCCCCGGCTGCCCTCCACGCGGAAGGGCCCCCCAGGGAACCTGCAGTGATCACCCAGTGCAGTCCTCTGCTTCGGGAGGAGGGCGGGCAAGGGGTGCAGGCGACCGGGTCTCTGCTCCCAGGGGCTCCTGCCAGGGGCCTGGTGGTGACGCGGCCTGACGGACGTGCAGGCCGGTGGGACCGTCCACTCCGTGGCCAGCACCTCCACCGCCAGCAGGTACCCCTGGGGAGACCCACCCGGCCCCCTGCTCCTACACGGGGCTCCGGGGTCGCAGCCCCAAAGGTGCACGGACGCAGACATGCCAGGTCCACCCAGCGCCCAGGAACCCCAGCACTGGACCGAGACCTCGCCAGGCCCTCCGCACCCCCCTGCCTGCCACCCGCCACGTCCCCGCCACGTCCTGAGCCTCCTCTGCTCGGCAGGGAGCAGGGGTGCCCGTCTGCACAGCCCCAGTGCACCAGGCTCTCCTCCCACACCCACACACCCGGGGACGCCCGCATGAACACGCACACTCTCGGCAGGTGTGCAGTGTGTCAGAGCCGTCACCGCGCCTGTGACAGACTGGGTCTGAGAGCAAGTTCTGGACACAGCTGCCGACGTTGTTCCCCTTCCTCCAAAGAGAGCGGGCTAGCAGGAAAGTTCTGGAGGGAGGTCTAGACAACCAGAAAGCTGGTGTCGCCTACTGAGAAGCCCAGCGGAGAACCGAATCTGACCTCGCGTTTCCGAGCGCGCCACAGAGAGATGGCGGCCGTCCACTGGGAGGCCTGGCCCTGTTGGCTCAGGGCTCGGGGCTCTAAGGGCCCATGACTTCCCCGACCCTGAGGTCCCTAAGGCCCAGGCCATGACTCACATAACACGGAGCCCAGTGATGTGAAGCAGCATCACCTCCCTCGGACACCTGCGGCTCAAGAAACTCTAAATTCCCCAGTTTTCTATTTTCCTCAAAAATATTCATCTAGACAGATCATACTTCTTCCCCGCCGGAGTCTTTAAACGTGATGCCTTTCACGGCGCATCTTTTCAATTACTGTTCTTACTGCCATTTTCCAAGATTTAACCACGTAAATCCTACCCTCCATCTTCCCCCGAATGCCATGCAAAGACACGACTGTGTCACATCTCATGAGCACGTACTAAGTGCCAGTATGTTCTAAGCCTGCTCCATTCATTGTACGTTAGGGGAGTTCAAGAGATTAGACCAAAATCACATACAAAGTCGGGAAGTCTAAAGCACATTCCCGAAAGCCCCGTCTTCGGGTTTCTGCCCCGAGTCACAGACACGTGCAACATAGGACGCTATCAGCGCACCGCAGAAGCAATGCATTCAGGAGGCCTCAGGACTGACCACCGTCACGATCGCCACTGCGTCACGTAAGACCAAGGACAGCGCGTGCCCACACGATGGATGTGCAGATACTATTACAGTAACTACAGGACCTCATCGCAGGTGTACCTTCTGGAACACGCACACCCTTTGAAGATGGTTTAGAAATAAAAAGTTAATCTGTTGCTTACAAATACCGTCTTCCGTTCCTATCCCTTTCTCCCCCATTTCCGGCTCTCTTTCTGCCAACGGCATTGTGGCAGCAACGTGTCACTCTTTGGATGCAGCTGTGCTCCCTGAGTGGGCTCCTTCAATTGCCATTGACCTCCACTTCCTTCCGATTCTCTCCTAAAAATAAAACACTCACTCAAAATCCCTATGAAGCACACGACCATCCTTACTTTATCCTGACAACCCTTCACAGGTGAGGGTTGGAGATTGCTAAACACTAATGAAGAGCCTGAGGACGGCGGGCAGGGTCTCAGCACTGCGTCCCCCCAGGGTCTCCTGGGTGCACTACACCGCAGCCCACGCAGATCCCGTCCCTGCAGCCTCTGCTGTTCTGTTCTGCTGCAAGTGACAGTGTTAGCTCCCTCCCCGCTCACAATCAGGCGAGAAAGAGCCGGAGGAAGTGGGCTCACAAGCGCTCGGAGCCCCCACCCCCAGGACAGAGCACGCTCATCAGGGAGCACACCGAGGAAGGCAGCCTAAGACGCAGCATCGCCAAAAAGAAACACTTTTCAGGAGCGCCTCATGCACCTGGCTCTCCAGGCAAAATTAATCCACCTGAGATCTTTGAATTAACTCCTACAAACCAGATGTTGACTCAAGCCAGAACTCCCTGTCATCAGGGCATTAACTGACTGTAAAGGCTGCTTGCGGAAAGTTAGTCGTGCAGAAGCAGAGGGTAAGAATTTAGAAAAGGCTTACAATGTAACAGGCAGCTTCCAAAGTCTGAACAATGACACAACAGCTGGAGCACTGAGACAATGACATGGACGCTGGAATCAATACAAAGAGAAAATATCCTCCGTAGAGGATCACAGGTTCTGTGACGCTGGTGAAGTGCGGGAACCGAGCCGTTCCCCTCTCCTGTGCTGCCTGCCACAGCACGTCAGTGAGGCAAGTAAGACCCCACCGGGGGAGCGTAAGGAGTCAGGCCAGAGCTAACGTTTGCTCGAGAGTCTTGAGTCACATGAACAATTTGCTGTTCATTTTATCATCATCACCATTACTGCCATCATCTTTGTCATTATATCATCTTCTACATCGTCACCATCATCACCATCACCCTCATCAACTCACCACCATCATCACCATCACCACCACTATCCGCATCTCCATTATCACCATCATCATCATCACCAATATCATCACCATCACCACCATACCATCACCATCACCATCTCTGTCACCATCATCACCATCGTTATCACCATCATCATGACCACCAGCATCGCCACCAATCATCATCATCGTCACCGCCACCACCATCATCATCACCATCATCGCCATGATGATCATCACCATCCCCACCACAGTCACTGTCATCATCCTAGAACCGCTGAAAGCTACAGAGACTTGCACCATCACCGTCACCGCCGTGGGCATCCCAGGCTCCGTCTCTCATCTTGATTCTTCCTTCTGTGGATGTTACAGATCAGTCAAAATTGGATCTCATCAAGTGCCTGGTTGGTGAGGGCCAAAAAGCAATCTGAAACCTCTTAAAAGTTTACTTTCTCCGAGGAGTACAGCAATCTTTCTTCCTAAGACATGGACCTGAGGTACGATGGAAATGTAGTCAAAGAACTTCATTTCCTCCAAACAATGAGAAAATAGATTGGAAATTACTTTGAGATCTATAAAAGAAGGTGCTCATGTAAATCCACATTTTTTTTAATTATTTGATGCCTTAGGTAATGATAAATAAGAGACAAATCCTATTTCCAAGACTTCAAAACTTAAATAGAACATTTTTAAAGGAAGTATCTTTAGTATCCATCCATGTCACCATATGTATGTAAATGTGGAATAACTGCTATATCATTTGTATGCAAAGCAGTTAACCATTTCCTTATTCCAATATAATCCACACTTAATGTGCAGAACGTTTTTAAAGAAAGATAAAGACAGTCTTCCCCTTGTTCCTGCTAGTGCTCCAAATGACTGCGGACTATGGGGTGCGGGGTGTGTGTGTGTGTGTGCGTGCATGTGTGCATGTGTGTGTGTGTGTGTGAAGGGGGCTCCAGAGAGGAAAGGAGGAAAATATGAAACGAAGGCATGAGGGACCCACAGGGACCTGTCCATAGGCTCCATCTATCGTCCCGCATAGAGGCCCTGGTGACAGTGGACGCCCCACTGGCCTGTCCACGCCCTATGTCATCCATCCCCACAGCCCGGGAGGCAGCCACCATTATTCGCCCTCGTTTAATATGCAATAACCATGTCACAGTGGTCACGAGTAACTTTTCCAAGGTGACGGAACCAGGAAACGACAGGTAGTGTCAAAATCTGGGGTGGGACCTACGGAACCCAGCCCCCAGGCCAGATCCCACCCCTGCCTTTCTGTGTGGCCTGTGAATGAAGCATGTTTTCACATTCGTGCATGGCCGAGAAAGGTGAAAAGACTAATTAATCTCACAAAACGTGAAGGTTACGTGGAACTCAAATTTCAGCGTCCGTAAGGTGGAACGCAGCCACACTCATTTGCTGACCTGTCTGTGCTGTGACAGCACAGCGAGTGGCCGGACGGAGGCCAAATGGCCACAGAGCCTCTGATGCTTGCTGTGTGGCCCTTTATGGGAAGTCGGCTGATGTGGTCCACAGGTGGCACCCTGGAGCCCAGCTCTACAGCAGGCACGCCCTCCCCCCCCCGCCCCCCACCGTGCTCACCTGTGCTTCCCCAGCCTGGCAGGTGTCCACGGCACCAGGGCCCCCTCCTCCACACCATCCCAGGTGGGGACTCCTTCTGCACAAACAGGGTCCCAGCCTCTCACGGCCGCCTCTTCCCTCCTAGTGAACAGCAGCAAGCACATTGTCAGGAAGCTCCGTGGACATCTGCGCACGAAGATCGAGTCTGGGGAAGGCACCGTCCCCGTGCGCGGACCCAGCGCCGTGCAGACGTGGGACGGCGTCCTGCTGGGTGAGCAGCTGGTCACCATGTCCTGCACCGACAAGATCGCCAGGTAACGGGCCCCTTGCTCGCCTCCACCCGCGTGGCTGTGGCCTGGCAGGGACTGAGTGAGGGTGGAACAGAGAAGGCATCCTGGGGGAGCAGGGGCCTCGTCCCTCCGCCTCTTTCCCGGGCCTCACTCTGGGCCGCACGCGCGTGTGCAAGCGAGGGCCCGCAGCTGCAGGCACTCACACAGAAGCCCCGGGCTCGGGTCTGGTCACAGCGGCCCAGCTCCCCCCGGGCCGGCTCCCGCGGCCGTCGGGAGGCAGCCAGAGCTTTCCAGGCCCGCCTCTGCTGAGCGCGGCCCTGGGGGCCACCCCGCGCCCGGGCAGCCGGCCCACCTCGCGGGCCCCACGGCTCTCCAGGGCCCCCACCCTGGGCCTTCTTGACTCTCAGTGTGTGGGTCCCCCATCAGATCTAACTGCTCCCTGAGCGTGACGGGCCTGTGGTGCCAGCCGGGTGGAAGTCCCCCACCCAAGCCAGGAGAGAGTCTCTTGTTAGAAGGAACTTCGAAAGTCACCCCTTGAAGGTTCTGGCTGGGAAACCAGCAGGAGGAAGAGGGATTTACAAACGGCCGCCCTGTCCTCAGGGAGAGCCCCCTCACGACCCCACCACCCCCGTCCCGTGCGCCTAGACGCCATCCCCACCGGGGAGCCCTCGTGTCACTTGGGTGTGGAAGCCATCCCAGGGTGCCTGGCAAGGGCAGGGAGGAAACTACAGCGAGAGTTTGCCGCAGACAGCCGTGAGCTGTCCCGACGTCGCCCTGATGGTGACCACAACAGTGAGGCTGCTGTGACGGGAGCTTCCGAGCGTCTCCTGGACACCTGGTTATGCTCGTCAATCGGTAATCTGTAAACTAAGTAAAAATAGTGAGTTCTCTGTAGGCGGGGTCTGGGGGCGAGCAGCCACAGTGCTGTCCCCGAGTCCTGGAAGGCCCTGGGGTCGGAACTCGCAGGACACAGGAGAGTGAGGCTGAGGGGTGGGGGTGACGCAGAGGCCCGAGGGGAGCCAGAGCAGGTGCAAGCGACGGGGCCACTACTGTCACCACCACGGGGGACCCGGAGGAAGCTGGGGGCAGCAGGTGTCCCCACAGGGCCCGGGGAAGGTGCACCCTCCCCGTGTGGCGCCCGGGAGGCAGATACCAGTGACCTGGGACTGTCTGCCCATCGGCCACTCAAACGGCACCAGGCACGGGGCTGGGCGCGGCCACTGCTCCGCAGGTGTTTGCCAACCGGCCAGCCGCCTGCCTCACCAGGACGTGCGGTGTGTCTCCCGGGAGGCCGAGGGAGAGGACAGGCCACCGCCTGTGGGCCGGGGAAGCAGGCCCGCCCCAGGCCACCGCAGGCCCCGCACACAGCGTCCCTGCCCCCCTCCCAGACTTCTCAGGCTCAGTGGCAAAGCCGGATTCTCCCGGGGAATTGCCAAATGGCTGCAGGAGACGTGGGGCCATTTGCATCCCTGGCCGTGACTGCCTGGCCAGCAGAGGCCACAGGACAGCCTGTGACAGTGCATCAAAGCACTGATTTCTGCATCACACTAACAGCCCCGACTTGTCAAGCCGCTCATCTTTCAGAAGAAAATGATTTCCTCCTCGGTAATAATCCCATCTATTCATGAAGCAGGAAGAAAGGGGCAGTTTTCACCCAACGGAAACCGTCCGGCCGCCCGAAGATCACGTTGGGGTTCGAAACTAACCCTCTGACTCCCTGGAAGAAGGAAGTGCACTCGCACTGCAGACATGTGACTCCGTTGTCTGTGGGCCCTTAAGCGTTGCCAACGGCGAACTGCCCGCGGGAAACAACACCAAGCAGGGTTGCTGTGGGCGCACCTGCTCCGGAGCCACTTTCTAATAACATCTTCTGGAAAGACAAGGCCCACTTGCATCCCTGCAGGGGGTCACGCAGTACCCTGTGTGCATGTGTGGGGACACTGACTGCCACGGCCCTGGGCAGCCTGGAAGGCCAGCTGTCGTCCCTGAGCGGAGTCGGGAAGGGCTGGCCGGAGCCAGGTGGGCCCCAGCCCCATGGGCAGCCCCTCTCCGTGCACTGAGCTCTGGCCCCCCGTCTGGTGGCAGGACCACCGAGGGGCACCCAGGGCCGCCCCTTACTCATTCTCCCCTCCAAGCCCTCACCCACCTCCCTACTGCCCCCGGCCCCGTCTTCTCTTCCCCTCTGCTCTCCCCGTGCCTGTGTCTCCGGGTCTGTCCCCGTCTCCCCCACAGACACCGCAGGAACCACTGCCTTCTGCACCGAAGGCCCCAGCTCCAGGGGCCGACGCTGCACAGCGAGGCGCACGCGTGGTTCTCACTAGACAGCGCTTGCCGGCGCCCCTGTGCACAGGGCCGAGGAGGGCGGCGACGATGGAGGAAGACCACACCCTGCGGTGCGGCCGCGGCCGCGTGGCCCCGCGAACAAGTCCAGGGTCAGCACCAAGGCACGAGCGACACGGCCAGGTCTGAGGGGGAGCACAGGTCAGCGCGTGGCCTGCGTCCACAACGCACATGGTTTGTGCTGAGGCTCCACGAAGGGGCCGCCTGGTATGTGTGCGTGCGTCTGTTTTCTGTCCGTGAGAAACGAAATCACACCTAGGGCTTTGGTAACCTTCCAGATAAGGACTCTGCCTGCAGAAACGCGGAGAAAGTGTTCCAACTCAGAGAGCTGGCACATTTGAGGGTCCGCAGGAGCGTGCAGGTGTGAGCTGGGAGACGTGCAGGTCACTCCTGCCTTCCAGGAGCCCTCGGCCGGGGGAGGACCCACCTGGCTCTCAGTTCCGTAACCGCCACACCCCACGCGCGGGACACGGCCTCCAGGGCCCACACGGCCCTTGAGCTGATGGTTTTCAGGCAAGTTTGAACACCGACTGTCAAACCTAGTTGTTAATACAAGTCAAATAACAGCGACTCACAACTAAATAAGTCCCATCAAAACTAAAGACAATAAACACTCAAAACTCACTGCCCCCTAACTACGTACTGTTGTTTGCGCTGTGTCCACACCCGTCGTGTCTGGTTGTGGCAGGGCCACAAGATGTCACCTCCTGCACGCCTTGTCCCGAATCTGTGCTCACTGACCTCACAGCAGCCCCGGAAGTGGCCACGGGGACGGTATTCACACCGTGGAAACTGGCAAACGTTACAGATCAGTGAGCCGGCTGTTCCCAGCGCACAGTGACGTCAGAGTCATACGGGACCTCACAGCAGCTTCGGAGACGGGAAATGACGCCCGTGTCATCTCAGCTGGGAGGACGTGGACACGAGGCAGGAACCGAAACGGGTGTGTGCGCAGGCGGGAGGCGCAGACTGGTCCCGTCCCGTCCGGGACCCCAGTCCCCACGCTGCCCCTCGTCACTCCCAGCCCCACCGCCCGTCTCCCTCTTGTCCCCGCACCCGCTGGCACGAACCTGGCCGTGCTGTCATCACACAGCTCGTCCCGCTCACCAAGCCAAGCCCCGGCCCGGCGCCCCGCCGGCCTCGACCCGCTGCCTTCCTAACCCAGGCGTCCCAGGAGGGCAGCCGCCCTCAGCCCCGGCCGGAGCCGTCGGCCTCAGTCCGCACTGCGCAGGCCAGGCCGTCCCTACTGAGGCCGATGCGGGCACCGCCCTCCCCGTCCCTCACGTCACGTGGGTCCCGTGGGGCTGCCTGCCCCTCCTGCCCTGGCCCAGCCGCCCCTCGAGCACCACATCACATGCGTCCAGAGAGGTGGGCCGGTGCAGAAGGGGTGACGGGGCGGCCCTGGCGCCACAGCCTGCATGTGTGACGTTGTGAGGCAGACAGGCGGGGAGCAGACCACCGGGCCAGCAGGGGCTGCCGAGGACGGTCATCAGCGCACACGCAGAGGCGCGGGGGAACAGCAGGGAAGACAAGAGCCGCTCGGACTTTCCAACCCCCACCCCGATGAGGCTCCACACCTGAGCTTCTGTGCCTTCACGCGGCACAAATAGGTGCGTCCCGTCGGCGGTCAGGAAAAACCGCACAAACGTGACCTGTCTGTGCCGAGCGGCCACAACGTCCAACGAGAACAGTGCTGCTCAGGGGGCCCGGCGGGAACCAGAAGCTGAGGGCCTGCTTCCTTCCAACGGCCCGGACGGCCTGGCAAATGCAGGGGTCCGGCCCCCGCCGATGCCTCACGCTGACCACCGCTGCCAACGCTAAATGCTACGTGTGCCTCCAGGAGACTGTTGGGAGGGGTCACGGCCAAGTCTCACTGCTGACTGCCGTCCCAAGGATCCGACCCCAAAGTTGCTGGGACCCACAAGCCGTGTCTGCGCAGTAGTTCAGAAGATTCTATAATCACACGGGGAAGTTAAATTGAGCAGCCACGAAACAAACGGTAGGCTGGCTTCAGAGCCTATAGCACGTGGCTTTTCTATATTTAGATAAAAATAAATGAATAAATTATATTTTTAATTTAGGTAGAGAAAGCATACCCACTGGACAAATTTGTGCTTCTCTTTGCGCATAAGGAACAGGGAGCCGCCAGCATCTAAGGATCTCAACAACCAACACAGCGACATTAGTTGCCTGCTAGAGATCAAAACCAATACACAGGGGTCACGTTCTGCATCGATGACACGTAAGCAATATGAATGAGAGCACCACACATGCTCTGCGTAGGATTTCGCCAGGAACTGACGTCATGTTACAATGTCAGTGGTAAGACAGCACGTTAGTGCTTAGCGCTTTTACAGTGGCTTAAAATGAGCCATAAAATATCCTGGATTCCAGCCGCTGCAGAAGTGCTCACACTTCCTGCGTATTCCCCGCCGCTTCCCGCTGGCCTCCTACGTCCTCCGGCCTTGCCTGCAGGCCTCCACCCCCCACCACAGCCCTGCAGCAGCAGCAGCCGCGCCCTGGGTGAGCGGGGTGCCCAGTGCCCGTGTTCCCCACGAGGACGGGAGCCTCACTCAGAGAAGAAGGTCAGTCCTCCACGGCCAGCAAGCCCTCTGTTGGGGGGAGGGGGGGTCTCGGGAAATCACGTGACTAAGTCTGTCCACCACAAGAGGGGATCAGCCCTC